AAGTGAATGGTGTCATTAATTATTTTAGTAATTATGTCAAAAATTATTATAAAAAAATTATCTATATAACATTACTTTTAATTATATTTTTTTATATAATTATCTTTTAAAAATTTAATCCAACACTGGAAACCACTTTTCTCTCACTTAACCACGACCGCTCATTCCTTTATCTATCCTTTTTCAACCTTTAGTCTAAGTGAATGGTGTCATTAATTATTTTAGTAATTATGGAAGAAATATAATATTTAGATTTTAACTTTCGTCGTTTTTTACCTTTTTTTTTTCGCAATCAGTGTTGTTTTACCCGCCCTGTACCATCTTTGGTATTATTTGGCATCCGCAACGGTAGTTGCAATGATAGAATGCCTTTGAGATTATAAATATCATTATAAATTAAATTTTTATGATATAATTCTCCTTGTTTTAATTTTTTCATGTTCCATTAAAAAAAATCTTCGCTATTATTTGTTTCCCTGTAAACCTAATGAAGCTCAGAAATAGAGTAGTGGAGAGGTGAGGGCAGCAAAGTATGAGAAGTGAGAAAAAAGCTTCGTGCAAAGTGAAACAGCAACCAAACAAGGGTTTCAATCTTAAATAAATTGCCCAAACGGTTAGAAAAAGATATAGTTTTCTATTTTTTTTTAATTCATAGCTAAAATTATATTGATTAAATTTTTGTATGCTGATTAATTTTTGTATATTGGGTAGTACGCAAAATTCCAGTAGCTACACTAAAATTTGACAGATACCTCTAAAATTTTGATGAGATTTAAAATTACTTTATTACCGTTTTGCATAAGATATAAAACAGTTACATACTGGCTGTGCTAGCCGTTTCAAAACAGAATTAACAACCTTACTCTTAATAATTAAATGAAGTGAATTGTAGTTTGGGCGTGAATGACTGTATTTCACTTTTTCGTCATGAAAATGTGATTGGTGATTAGTTTTGAAAACAGATCCAACATGTCAGAATGGTAGCCAGTAGAAACCATTTAAGCGGTTAGACTGCTTGAAGGTATGACTGAGCATTTTCGAGTAGAGGTTTATTGTGAGTTATTGTTTTTGGTATTTGATATTTTAATATAAAAGTTTTTAAATATAAAATTTTTAACTTGATATTTACTTACTTATTTGTATATTTATATATGATATTTAACCTAATAGATATAAGTAATTTATAAATATATATTTATTTATTTGATTTAAGAAAAAAAGAAAAAATTTATACAAGTTATTATTATTGCATATGTCATGTGTTTGGTTTAAAATTTAAATATATATGAATTTGTTATTTATATGAGTGACTATTGTTGTATTTGTGATTTCTTTATTTTGAGATTTATTTTTGTAGTTTATTATTTTTTATTTTTAAAAATTATTATTATATAAATATAAGGTATAAGATAAAAAATAAAATTAAGACATTTTGATACTTTAAATGATAAGGATTCTTGTGAAATTATTCAAATTTCACAAGAAACCTATGAAAAGTGAAAATTAAAATGTCTTAACACTTAACAGAGGAGATTCCTATACCAATTTATTTTTGTATTTTATTATTTTTACTTTTAAAAATTATTGTTATTATATAAATATAAAGTATAAAAGAAAAGTGAAAATTAAGACATTCTGACATTTTAAATGATAAGACTTCCAAACTTTTTTACTTTTCGATTCGTTAAGTGTATTTTAATATTTTCATTATCATTCTTAATGTTTTAAATACCATTACGTATTGATTTTTCTTAATCCTAAAGTATAATAAATATAGGTAAAATTTCAATTATACAAGTATAGGTAATATAGTTAGTTAAACATGTCAAATAAACAATTCTAAACTTTTATATTTATTACTTGACTTAATACTTATAAATATATTATTTTTATATCTATTACTTACTTCTTTTTTTTTTTTGTATAATTCAAATATAGTGTTTACTTATAAGAATGTCCTAGTGGCTACCATCCCGTTATTAAGAACTTTTCATATAAGTTTAAAGGTGTCAAGTTAAGTTCTAACCTCTAATATTTAATATATATATAGTGTTTACTTATATAAATTAGATAGTTATAAATAATTGGTATGCTCTTATCCAATTCTCCCCCCCTCCTTAAAGGTTTTTTTTTTTTCTGAAAATACGTAATGGACCCCTCCTTAAAGGTTAAAAGTTAAAACCATCCAAAAGTTGGTTTAACTTGTTCGGTGAAAGTCAGATCTGTGTCATTAGCGGGTCTAGGATATCAATCCTCTTGGTGTTTTAACTTAAAGACACTTTTTGCCGCTAACTGGTCTTGTGGCCCAATTAGTTGGCTCCCAAGCTTTAGGGGCTTGGGTGAGGCGGAGGTTAGGACTTCGAGTTCTGCCACCACCGTGAACTTTACCAACTTGCGACTTAATGGTCGCGCGCCTCAAATGAGAGGGTGAAAAAATTTCAACTGCTAACAAATTAATTCTACTAACTTCCTAACCATTTACCTAGTAAAAAAAAAGACACTTTTTGCCACTTGAGTCATTAAATTTCGTTTTATTTAGGACCATCTAATGGTTGGTTATTATTATTTTTTTAATCTCAATGCCGCAATAGGAAAATTTTACTCATAAGGATTCGAACCTAGAACAATCAAGACAGAAAACAAAACTCCTATCAAATCAATAGAACAAGTGAGAGCTGAAATACGTAGCTTGCCTAAAATATATTTATTAATATAGAAATTGAATAGAAGAACATCATTTTTACCTTTGGGTTTAAAAACGTTGGGTTATAGCTTATTGACAATCTCAACTTTTTGGAGTTAGGTCCGGTTATTTTCATGTTGTTCATATCCAATTTAAACTAATTGATCCAACCTAAATTGATTTAATTTGATTAAAAATAAATTTAAAACAAATATCAATTTAGGTTAGTTTAGATTATAAAATTTTAAAATCAATATAATTGATGTAGTTTGTAATTTTACTTTTAAACTCAAATCATCAAATTTCAAATTAACTTAATTAAATAATAGAATATTTTTGTTTTGTATAGTAACTGTATCTTGAATTATCCTTGTTCTATTTCTCTTATTTTTGTAGTATCATATTATTTTGATGGTTGTACTATAATATTAATTAAATTGGTTACCCTTTTTCTATTTTATTTTTTTATAATTATACAACATAACTTAATTAAAAAGAACTACAATTCTAAATTGATTCTATTATAAAATTAAAAATCTACTCACAAAAGTCTCTACCTTTTTGAACGGTAACAGCATGGGTTTGCATGCTTTGATTGCCTTCTTAGTTTTTACTTCAATCTAATAGACTAATATTATTATTTTGCTGTCTATGAAGTTAGTATATTTTATAATTATGTTTTCTAGAATTGGTATTTAAAATTTTTCACTTAATCACATATATTTAAACATTGTGTTAAAAAGCAATCAATCTAATCGAATCATACTAACTCAATCTAAGTTCAAATAATTTAATTATAATATAATTATAAATTAAACTAATTAAAAAAGTTAATAACTAATTAAATTAATTTAAAAATATTAAAATCCAAACTAAACGCTCCACAAACACCTCACTTCTCATGATAAAAGGGACGGAGGTGGATGTTGGCAAACTAGATATTGGCAAACTAGATACAAGGATGGAGCATGACATAAATTGTGGAGGGCCCGAAAAAATTAATCCCAGTCACATGCAAAATAATATAAAGTATAAAATACACAAAATGATTAAGAAATAATTTTTTTGTATTATTTTATATAATTTTATGTGTTATTTAAATAATTAACTTTTTTTATTCATTTAAGACTTATAATATTGAATGTATTTATTCATTTAATAATACATAAAAATTATATAAAAAAAAATGATACAAAAAAGTTCTCTTTATATTACCACTCATAGAATATATAACAAGCAAGATAAATTTAATGACTAATTATCATTTTTATCAAAACTCATTACAAGGTAAAATAAAAGTAACAAAAAAATAATGCTTAGTTCATAAAGTAATGTTTGTCTCACTTTTAAAAATTTAAAATCTTCAATAATTAAATCTGAAGTAAAATTTTTTGAAATCACCCTTTTGATGTAGATAATCAAACTGTTACCTTGGACGGTGGGAAGCATCTTGATTGAGTGGCTTAACTAGTGTTTTTGTAAGGAGAATGTGGAAGCTTAAGATTGGACAAGGCGTGGGCGATCCCTACCTGAGCAGCACAAACAACTTCCTGGGAAGGCAGACATGGGAATTCGACCCAGATGCTGGCACCCCTGAAGAGCGAGCCCAAGTGGAAGAGGCTCGCCAGAACTTCTACAAGAACCGCTACCAGGTCAAGCCCAATGGGGATCTTCTCTGGCGAATGCAGGTATTCCTTTATTCTATATGAATTAAATATGAAAACGTTACAATGCAAAACCAATTTTTTTTTTAACAAAACTTTGTTGATATTGCAAATTACACACATAATTAATATATATCTTTAATGTCATGGTAAATTATAAAAATTACTGTGCTTAAAAACATCGTACTATAGGATTGCAATATAAAATTTTTTTTGTACAAAGGTCAGTGAAGTATTCAGTGAAAACTCTTTAGTGACGCTAGGCCGACAAACACTTATCCACTCCTCATGTAGACATACCTGAACTAGCTCGATGGCTCCTTGAAGTAGTGAAAACCCTTCTCGACCCAAATGATAAAACTGTGAAGCCATGGCATCTGCACAAAAATTCTTCTCTCAAAGCACATGTCATATATATTTCACCTATCCACTCTCTTTGCATGAAGGCTTTACATTTCTTGATCAAAGGTGAATAAAATTTTAGACTCCCATTGCAGTACAAAATTTATGTGCTCCAGACAAGGTAAATTCTAGAACATTATTGGTAAATATGAAGGTTTAACAATCATTTAAATATAAGAGAAGGTTTGATTCATTCTGCATCCAAAATCCCAAACTTGAAATGATATCTAAATGAAGGTTTGATTCATCTAGACATGAAAGATGTAAATTTAAATCTAAAGAAGTTTTAGAATGAATTTTTTTTTATCAGTATTGGAATGATAATATTAGCTATTTGTTAATTGGGAAAATCTTATATTAAGTATATAACTGCAGTTTCTGAGAGAGAAGAATTTCAAACAAACCATTCCAGCTGTGAAGATTGAGGATGGCGAACAAATTAGCTATGAAAAGGCCACAGCAGCACTAGAAAGGGCTGTTAATTTCTTCACAGCATTGCAAGCCGATCATGGCCACTGGCCTGCAGAAAATGCAGGTGGATTGTTTTTCCTTCCACCTTTGGTAAGCCCATCGCCCAATATTATTCACCTTAGCAAATGTCTTAAATCATACTTGCAAGCGCTAATTATAATTTTTTTGGAATTGAAAATTGTAGGTGTTTGTCTTGTACATCACAGGGCACCTTAATACCACATTCCATGCAGAGCATCGCAAAGAAATCCTTCGCTACATATACAATCAACAAAATAAAGATGGTGGCTGGGGACTTCACCTTGAAGGCCATAGCATCATGTTTTGTACAGTTTTTAACTACATCTGCATGCGGATTCTTGGAGAAGGGCCTGATGGTGGTCAAGACAATGCCTGTTCAAGAGCACGAAAGTGGATTCTTGATCATGGTAGTGCCACCCACATCCCGTCATGGGGAAAGACTTGGCTTTCGGTATAGTCACTGATTACAGATATAATTTACCATAATTTTTTCAATTATACATTAGAAAAGGATTGAATAGCAAATATTTCTAGTGACTGAAAATGTCGTATATAGTTACTAGAAGTTGACTGAAAATTATACACTAATTGTAGGTACTAGGAGTATTTGACTGGTCAGGAAGAGATCCCATGCCCCCCGAGTTTTGGCTCCTTCCCTCTTTCCTTCCTATGCACCCAGGTTTGTTTTTACCTTATGTTTGCTGCTTCTACAAATCGATGGTTACTAGAAGTTGAATATATTTTGACAGAGTTGCCACCTCCAATAATTGAAAACTTCGTTACCAATTAACATTGGCTATATTCTTTCTACTATTAAAATATGCTAAAATCTAATATTGCGTGGTTTATAGTAATTCACTCTTCATGTTTTATTTTCTTGCAACATGTAGATAAAATGTGGTGCTATTGCCGAATGGTTTATTTGCCAATGTCTTATCTATATGGGAAAAAGTTCGTGGGGCCAATCACACCTCTAATTCAACAATTAAGGGAAGAACTCTACCTACAACCTTACGATGAAATAAATTGGAAGAAAGTGCGCCATTTATGTGCACCAGTAAGCTAATCTATATTTTGTTCAAAGAGATGTACCATAGTTTGTGCATTTCTTCTATATGTTTCAAATTACTTACTCAGAGGTTGATTTATAAAATTGGTATCATAGGAGGATATCTACTACCCACATCCTTTGATACAAGATTTGCTTTGGGATAGTCTCTATCTATTTACTGAGCCTCTACTTAGACGCTGGCCTCTTAACAAGTTGGTTAGAGAGAAGGCTCTTCAAGAGGCAATGAAGCACATTCATTATGAAGATGAAAATAGCAGATACATTACTATTGGGTGCGTGAATAAGGTAATGCGTCTATTTCGAAAATAATTTATAGGAGATGAGAGTAGTGATATTATGTCTTGATGAAACCAAGCACGATTAATAATTTTCTCATATACTCTACTTGTATTGGCCAGTCATTATGCATGCTTGCGTGTTGGGTTGAAGATCCAAATGGTGATTCCTTCAAGAAGCATCTTGCTAGGATTCCAGAATACATATGGGTTGCTGAAGATGGAATAAAGATGCATAGTTTTGGAAGTCAGTCATGGGATGCTGCTCTTGCTCTTCAAGCATTACTTGCTACTAATCTCATTGACAAAATTGGACCTGTACTAAAGAAGGGTCATGACTTCCTAAAAAAATCTCAGGTTTGATAATACTACCAAAAGGTATTCTTTCCTTTATTAAATGTTCATTTGTACAAACAGTTAACACTTAAATAAGTAAAGGTCAAGGAGAATCCATCAGGGGACTTTAGAAGAATGTACCGTAATATTTCCAAGGGATCTTGGACTTTCTCTGATCGAGATCAAGGATGGCAAGTTTCTGATTGCACTGCAGAAAGTTTGAAGGTAAAACCAAATTAATTATAGTTGAACAACTGATTTAAAGAAATCTATAGATGCAATATTAATTAGAGATCCTTCATTATATCTCAATGATTCATACTCTCTTTCACAGTGTTGCCTGCTAATGTCAATGTTACCGCCAGAAATTGTTGGTGAGAAACTGGAACAAGAGGGATTATATGATGCCATCAATGTTCTACTTTCTCTGCAGGTCAATATTTTCTTCCATTGAAGACATAACTTTACAAAGACATATTTTACAACTGTTTTTAGTTATTCCACTACATATTTGTTTAAGAGTCAAGCCCTTATTAAATCAAATAAGCCTTTTCGTTTGACTAATTTCAGAGTAAAAGAGGAGGTTTAGCTGCCTGGGAGCCAGTTATAGCATCAGCTTGGTGGGAAGTACGTGTTTGAAGATAAATAAGTCAGAAGTTGCTCCTCTTGGTTCACATATAATATTTATGATATTAATTGATGCTTTTTCTGTGTTTGTTTCTCAGGTGCTTAATCCAACAGAATTTTTTGAAGGCATTGTGGTTGAGCATGATTATCTTGAGTGCACTGCTTCAACAGTCCATGCCTTTATTTTGTTTAAGAAGTTATATCCAGAGCACAGGAAGAAAGAGATTGAAAATTCCATAGCAAAAGCTATTGACTACATTGAAAGCCTACAAATGCCTGATGGTTCATGGTATTTTCCTCCTGTATTTTTCTAATATCTTCAAAATCATGTTAGAAAGGCTAATGGACTCGAATAACATAAGCATCTAACCTAAAGTCAATTACTAATAGGTGAAATATCACATGTTATATTTAAATCCTTGAGTTTTCTTTCAATTGATTAATGTGAGATTCTCCCTCTTTAGCAAGCCTTGTGATTATTTAAGAAAGTATGAGAGGAACCTGTTACATTGAGCCTTTAACAGGTATGGAAATTGGGGAATTTGCTTCACATATGGTTCTTTGTTTGCACTTGGAGCGTTGGCAGCTGCTGGCAAGACATACAACAATTCTCCAGTGATGCGTAAAGGTGTTGAGTTTCTCCTTAAAACACAAAAGAAGAACGGTGGGTGGGGAGAGAGTTATAAATCATGCCCTGAAAAGGTAAATTTAAATGACAGTAATTAATTTATGATGGCGAACTAGCTTGAACTTGATCTAAAACTCTTACTAATTAGCTAGAACATAATAATTACTTCATCTTTTTGGGAAATCGACCTGATTTATCATTGTCTTTTTCATTAACCTGATTAAACGAATAATTTCTATGTTGTTGCTGGTGAAGAAATACATATCTCTTGAAGAAGGAAAAACAAACTTAGTACAAACGGCATGGGCGATGATGGGTTTGATTCATGGGAGGCAGGTAAATTTTCATGAAAAAACCACTTTAACTTACATCGCATTTGTTCTTTTGTGGTTTTTCACATAAAATTTTTCTTTTTAATATAGGCAGAAAGAGATCCAACCCCTCTTCACCGTGCAGCAAAGCTAATCATCAATTCTCAGTTAGAAAATGGTGACTTTCCCCAAGAGGTATGAAAGATGAGGAATGTAAAATGGAATAAAATTAAAATAAAGCAAAAACATGGATTTTTGGATATGTATCTTTAAAAGGCTTCTTTTGCTCGTACAAATGACATAGTTCATTTTAAAGAATACAAAATTTGAACATCTCGCAGACTAAATATTAGCATTAACTAGGAAATAAGTGAAAATCAATTTATTCTGGTGATTTAAAGGCGGATAGGCTAAGCTTTTTTTTCAAATAACTTTTAAGCTAAAAATTTTAAATTTTAAATTTTTGTCTCATTGTGTTTGAAATTTGTTAGAGGGAAACTTAGTTTTACAAAAAAAAAAAAATAAAAAAATAAAAGAAATAAAAAGAAAAAAAAGGAGTAACTTTTAAACAAGTTTTGGTAAAACCTCTAAATCCATGCTTTTGAGAAAACTTGATTAAAAGCTGCTCTTTTGTTAAAAATCAATTTTTCCTCCAACAAATTTCAAATTTTAAATTTCAAGAGACATAAATTTTGAATTTTTAACTTAAATACTAGTTAGGAAAAAAGGCTAAGCCAAACAGCCTATTACACCAAGCTACAACTTATAGTGATTGATTTCTTATTTATGTAGGGAGCAACGGGAGTCTACATGAAGAATTGCATGTTACACTATGCAACGTATAGGAATATTTTCCCATTCTGGGCACTTGCAGAGTACCGCCGGAACGTTCCAATGCCTTGATGCCTTCCATATTAATAAATATAGTGCTTAAATAAGAAGTAAAGAACTTCTGAGTTGTTAATTTTGCAGTTTCTTCTCTCCACGTTTTCCTTTGTATCATAAACAAAGGATATTGTTGTATTTATAATGCCAATCCCCCTCTCAACTATCCCAAAATGGACTAATTCACGTATGAATAATTTATAAGTTTGAAAATGCATGGAATTTTTATTTTTATTTTATTTTTATTAAAAAACTCTTATGCATCACAACCCTTGCTATTAACCAATCAAGTTGGCTCAAGAGCACACTCTAACACTAACTTGAATAGTGTTTTGAATTTGAATAAAGAATGCCTTATGGATGTGATCAACGTGGTGGCCAAAATCAGAGAGGTCAGAATTAGAGGGGCCAAACGATGTAGCCTTCTTAGCAACTTCTCCCACTACCCTTAATGTTAGTGGGGCACAAATGATGTCATGGTTAGTTTACTCCAGCTGATTCTAGCTGAAAAATAGGATGTCGGGTTCTAAGAGGGCACACTAGAAGCAAAAATTGAAAAGTTTCCTCTTTCAATACATTAAGGGTTCTTATGAATCCATTGATGGTTAAGGAAAATTAGCAATCAAAACTAAATGAAATGTGCCTTGTTACTGTGTAGCTTTAATTTAGAACCTTTGCATGAAGGCTAGAGTCCAAGGGTAGAACTCCTTTAGTGGTTTTTGAGAGAAAATCAAAATCTCTAGAGTCTTAGCGAAAGAGAATTTTGATTCTTTTTTCTCTATCTGGGTAGTGGTTTTGCAAAATAAAACAAAAAGAATAAACACGTTAATTCTCTTTGCTTTTTGTGACAGAGAGTTCTTGAAAGAATATTTTTCTGTCTCTTCGCTTTTTGGTGGCCTAGGTCTATAATAAAGTAGTAGTGTAGAATTATGTTTTTTACTCCTATTTATACTAATAGTAAAATAGGAAGACTATAGTAATTCCAATCAAATTAGAATTACATTAATTTAATCAAACTTGGTCTCCAAGTCAAAGTAGAAAACAAGGAGAAAACTTTCTTTCTTTCTTTCATTCTCTTCTTGCCACCATCCCTACTTCTTTGTAGGGCTAGAAGTGTGCCATGCTCTCTTTTAGTGCATAATGCCACACTATGGACTAGGGTTTTAACCATGTAGCCCCTAATGGACTACATTAGCCCTTCTTAAATTTTTTTTATTCTAACACTTGAACCAATCCAACCTTGAACCGCCTTGGATTAAATTTATTTAATCCATTCTACCAATTTAATTCTAGAACTTGATTAATAATTTGTTTTTTTTGTGAAAATAATATTTTCACATAAATTAATCCTTCATTCAAAAACTTGGATTATATAGAAATTCTAGTCCCATGAAGCACACAGTGTGTCACGCCCCAGAACCCAAATCCGGAGACGTGGCAGACGCCGTGCACTCGTAAGAAGGTCCCACAAATGCACAAGGCTCAGAACTTATCAAATTCACACTCTGATACCATCAAAGTCTAAAGATCAATTTTATAAACTCTCTGATATCATAAGTCTCCAATAAAATCTCCAAATACAAGATCATGATTTGTTTCTAAAATTTCATATCCAATTACAATATGGCTAGCTTTCTAACTCGTCACTTCCCGTGGTTTTCCGTCCTCGGTTTCACTTCCTGAAATGGTGGACAAGGAAAAACTATGAGATAAACTCAGTAAGTAAATATGGAGTGCCC